AAAAATAATATTTCAAATTAATTATCATATAATATAATACAAACTAATAGCATAAAAATGAAAAAAATGGCACAAAATCATTTACCATATATAAGAGATTCTCCCAATATATAAACCTACAATTAAAATGAAAAAATTAGTTTCAGTGCAAATTAAAACTCTAAATTAGTAGAATTATAGATAATATTTAAAAAATTATAATAAAATAGAAGAATTGAGCTCGGTTCCCATTAAGTAAGGTCTCAAGTTTGAGTATTTTGAATAGAGAAACACTCGTTGGGAGAGCTTCTCCCCTAATGGGGTCCAACGCTGCTTGATTCGGGATTAGTTGGGACCTAATGTGGTTATCAGATACCGGGAGGTTAATACAAAAAAAAAAAAACATATATATATATATATATACTAAGAGACATTGGTCTAGTAATTAAGAACATATATAGTATGTCCTGAAAAGTTTCATGTTTAAATTCTCACTAAGAAGTAAGAAATTAAGGCAAGCAATTAAGGGCACTTGGGTCCCCCTCTCTTGGTCTTCCAATTATTGTAGCAAGGACAGACCTGTTTGTTGCCATAAGTTCCAGGAGGCACACACAAGCATTTAGCACAACACTTCTGGCAAAAGAACAAGCATGGCTTCCTGTATTGTGTCTTTGAGCATCTTGCTGTGCACCGGGGTCCGCATTCTGCGTTTCAATTATTCATCCAACCAAATCTTAAATTTCAAAACATGTCTGTGAGACTAATCTAATTAAAGATTCAGATATTCATGTTATATTGAGAAAAAAATTGTATTCTTTTATTCGGAAATTTTGATACATGTTTTACATTTTTCTTATAGTTTTGGAGAGACATTTTTATCATTGCATGGGTATATAACTTTATCAACTGAACTTAAATTAAGGAATGGAAGAAATTTATTGGAGAATTTAGAGTTTAGACACACTACCTTGAGGAGTTAGGCTGCCTTCAGTGATTCCATGCTAAAAATAAACAAATGAGAGAGAGAGAGAGAGAGAGAGAGAGAAAATTACTGACTAATCCCATACGGCTAAATTAAACAAAAGATTAATCCCCAAAGTAAAATAAAATTTGACTCACAATATTTGGGAAAGTGCTATTGGGCTGGGGCTGTGGGGTCGGAGCCTCTACATCCGTATTCGTGGCCTGTAACAAAACAAAACGTCGGTTCATGGCTCGCAAAAGTAAATAAAATTAGATGTAAGAAAGTAACTATTAACCGTGGAATATGAATCTATCATTGATTATTAGTTGTTCCTAGTCTTAAAATGGGTATTTTAAGTAACTAAGAATTTTAGATTCTAAATTGGAAATTTGGAGTTTGAACCTTAAGATACTAAAACGATTGGGGAGAAGTGAAGAAAATGATAGAATTATTTCTAATTATATAATTTATTATCTAATGAACTGAAAAAAGCTGTTCCTTAATAGTCAAGGCTAACAGACCTGGAATTGGTGTGCCAAAGTAATACAGAGATATGAGATTGCAAGAATTTTATCACTTTGCAGATAGAATGATAACAAAAATGGAAGGCGGCGGCTTCCAATTGAGCAAGAAACTTACATGATTCTGGGGCAGTGAAAGGAGGATGAAAATGACGAGGAAGAAAAAAATGGCACTGTTTAGCTTCATTGCCATGGGAGCTGCTTGTGTGGTAACTGAAACTGCTGCAAAGAGTTGAAAACAACTCTGGTGCTGAGATTAATTAAGCTGTACCTGACCAGTAAAGCATGGTCCCTATTTATAGGCGGTTGAAAAGGTATAGTTGGAAATTTTGGAGAATTATGTCTTTTGCATGGTATGCTTCTTGAATGCAACGGTTACTGTCTTTCTCATGAAAACTACTTTTGACCAAAATTGTGCCTTTGGAAAATCATTATTTTGAGCTATCTATATAGACACACACATAGCTACAAATGCAATAGTATATTTGTATCTAGTTTTTAATTTTGTGTTTTATTGGGTTGATTGAGTGCTCCTTCACCTTTGAAGCATTGTCCAATCAGGTCCTCAACTTTTCAATTATTTTAATTGGGTCATGCTTCATTTATTTTCATTGATTTGAACTATATTATTTCACATAAATGTGCAGCTGCATGATGTTCAAGGATCACCTAGTCATTTGGTTAACTTTGTTAATTGATATCAATTGTAAACTCAATGCAGTAATCATGGTATTTTAGAAAGTAAACCACTTATTATATAACATATTACTCTTTTCCAGTTTGGACTGCAATAATATAAAAGTGACCTTA